ATACCCACCATGTACATGGTATGCTACTGTTGGTTCATTGTATCAACAGTACACTGTATAACCTAAGCATACCCACCATGTACATGGTGTGCTACTGTTGGTTCATTGTATCAACAGTACACTGTATAACCTAAGCATACTCACCATGTACATGGTATGCTACTGTTGGTTCATTGTATCAACACTACACTGTATAACTTAAGCATACCCACCATGTACATGGTATGCTACTGTTGGTTCATTGTATCAACAGTACACTGTATAACCTAAGCATACACACCATTGACATGGTCTATCCTCGCTGTTGTCCTGTTGCCAAATCTGTCGTCATAGTTCCAGCTGACATCCGTAAAGGGCTTGATTTCATTCAGCCAATGATTGTCTTTGTGTCTCTCGTTGATGAAGAGGTCTGTCCAGAGGACGTCCACGGTGTTGGTATCCTTGACAACCCAATCGTAGCTAGTGTTGGACGAGGCAGTGGTAACACGGGCATATTTTCCTGTTCGTTTCTCAACCTCAGACATATTGTCGTACAGAAAAACCTTCCTGGCACTCTGGATGTTTCCTGCGTTGTCTATCACGTGTAGTAGCAACATGTACATGCCAGGTGTTGTCAAGGTGAAGGTCGCCTGAAAGGATATATTTACTATACTGTTAAAAGATTGTTAAACATTTCACCCCTGAAATTTCATAATGACCTATTCCAACCTTTGAATCGGAAGAGTTCAAATGCGTCTTCAGGGGTGAATGAGTTAAACACTACATGTTACATAAGAGTGCTAGGCAGAGGTAAACTGCTGAAAAGAAGGAGGCACAATTATTGAGGACATTTAAAAGCCATGAAAAAACAAGAGGCCCATAGGCCTTAACGGTCACCTGATATATTTATACAGAGAGTTGATTTTTGTTTTTAACATGAACAGAAGTATTATTCAAAGTGACAAAAAACAATAAAACCACCTTTTTCAATATCTAGCATGCAGATTTAAGACTGACACACAGACTCCATTGGGCCCCACCCTACAGCCCTTAGGGGTAGGGATGGCTCAAATTTTTTTAAGTATCAAACTGTCAACTTAGGGTTATAATTCCAATCAAGTTATCAACATGTCATAATCAAAGTATCATTTGCCATTATAAACCATAACAAATTTTGCCCCC